CCTTTCAAAAAAAAAAAATGAATAGTTCATTTCTGAAATAGAATTGCCATTACGCTTAGTATACTGGGTGATTCACGACTGGTGACCAAAAATGAAACATCGTATTCTTTGGTGAATTTTAAGGAGAGTCTTTCCTATAAAGTTTTTATCTAGGACGCTTCGTTAAAAAGATACAGGGGGTTAAAATATTTTTATTTTTTTTAAATAATTTAAAAACTAATTAGTGAAATAATTTGAAATTGGGCACATGTATTTATGTAAACATTCTCCAAAATTTGAAAGCTTTTCCTAAAATTTACATGCTCCAGTGGCGGAGATACAGCGTATCGGTGGCATATTTTTCTAAATAAAATAGTACGCCACTGCTTTACAGTAACAACCATGATATTTTCGGATTCGTCTTTCAATTTTAAGTACTACTCTCCTACGTTTTTCGAAAAAGCCTGATTTTCGAGTAAAACTTAAAAAACCAACTAAAAACACTTTTACTTAAATGATATGGGAAATACTAATCATCCGGTTATTTATTCGAATAAAGAAATTAATAACATTAGTCATCATTTTAATGATTTTATTTGAGTAAATGCTCAAAAGTACCTACATTTCCACGAACACAGGCGCGACATCTTTTTAGTAACGAAAATGTAATTTGTTCGAAATTTATTGTTGCTTGAATCTGACGAAAATCATTGTTTATTCTTTGTTCTAACTGCTCAGAATGTTAAAGTTGCTATCGCAGCTTACTATATAATTTTAAACCGCATTTTATTTGAATAACGAAGTGCACTTGTTTAAGATTCTCGAAGGAATCAAATTTGGTTGCGTTAGAATTATTGTTTTGTAGGTAATAATGTATTAAATGTTAAAATTCCATGGCCTCATGAAAAATGAAACACAGTGTTTACGTTTTGTTATTTTTTGTAAAACGAATTCTTTCCAATTTTATTTAGTTAAATGTGATTTTCTCTAATTTTAACACCTTACATTTCGTCAAAGCTGTACGACGAAAAAGATATTAAAGTTATAAAATGAATTTAAAAAACGCCCTGTAAATACGTATTTTTTTAGGAAGAAGGTTCCTGTAGATCGCTAATTACGCCAGGATTCCCTAACGTCCTACCTAAACCTCCAACAATGTCAGGTTTTGAAACAGAGAGGAGTAATCAAAGACATCAGCATAGAGCATACTGTTTGGGGGCAAATAGAGCAGGCCCAGCACGTAAGTGACTGTTTTTATCAACTAACAAAGCTAATTTCGATGATGAAGAGTTTGTCACAACTATTTTCAGTTTGGTATAAGAAGATAAGACGTCAGTGGCGTGTTCATTATGTTTAAGTAAACGATATCAAATGAATAATTAACTAAAATAGATACATTTGTATATGTAAAAAATTACATGTTTTTTATCTTTAATAAAATGCATTATATATCTGTGAAACAGTTGAGTTTCTCAATAATTTATTTCTAAATCGTTTTCATTTAGAATCTAATTTTAATATTCGATATTTTCTTTGCAGCTACAACTACTGTTGCACCCGAAGTAGAAGTATGAGCTAATGATAATGAACTTATTAATTAGATAAAATATTCTCTGCCTTGTTTATTTATAATAAGAAATGCACGTTTTTTACTTCAAATTAAGCACAAGAAATATCTGGCAAATGGTTAAGTTTCCTATAAATTTTATTTAAATTATTTTGATTTAGTGTGTGCTAAAACTTGAATAAAATTTTATCGTACTATATTTTTGAATACTTTTTTTGCAGCCACAACTACTGTCGAACCTGCTGCAGAAATATTATAAGCCAATGAAGTATAAATATTTTTGAAAATGTATTTTTAATGTAGGCAATTAAATGTGTTATTACATGTGCATATTAGTGTTTTATTGTAGAAATTTGTTTATATGTATTATGAATTATGTTGAAATAAATTATGAATTAAACTTTTGCCAAATAACGAAACGCAGAAGAATGAAATACAAAACAATAACAAACAATAAAATAAAGTTAATAACACACTCGTATACAATAAGATTTGGATAAACAACTATTTTGCTTACGATATTTATAGAGTGAACAAAAATTATCAAATTGACTAATGTACTTTTGGTAAGACAATAGCAAATTTGTACGAAGTGTAGGCAAATATAGAATTAAGTATAGGAACATGATACAAGATCATTGAAACTAATGACATGCATTTATTAACAATAATTTAAAAAAATATTTAATTGATAATATATAAATCATTTGCAATACGCACTACTAAAATTATAAGTAATGAAATAAACTCCATAATTAATGAAAAGTATAGTTTTTAAATATCTTCTTTGCACTTTTTCTAATTGAATATTGTAAACATTTTAAATTGAACTAAAACAATCAAGCATTTTATAATTTGCGACGCGCAAAATCTGCGTATATTTAGAGTTTAAGATATAGGGCGTTACCTAACTGTTTATTTAGATTAATAGTAGAATAGTAGACCAGGGCGGATCTGTCGGCATATCCCACTTCTTGGATTTAAGAGAGAGCAAGCTAATTTTTGCTGGAATACCTTCAGTACTCACATAATAAAAGTGTAGATCCCTATATCTGGGCGAGGTCCGGAACATCTTCAAAATTGCAAAAATGTTTAAAAAATTTAAAAAAATACCTATTTTATCTGAGTTTTTTTACTTATATCTTGGAACCTATGAATTTTGGAAGAATATTGAAGAGGAAAAAGGTCTAGGGATCTACACTTTTATTATTTGAGTTGTACTGAAGGCAAACCAGAAAAATTTTGCTTGCCTCCTCTCACATCCACCTCAAAACAGATCCGCCCTGGTCTAGTAGGTTTTAAAATACAGGGATGGCCAGAAGTACGGAATAAAATTCATATCTTTTTATTGAGTTTTTGATTTTTTTTAAAACGCCGAAACACGTTAAGTGATTTTGATTTTTTCCCATCTTTCGGTTATATAATAATTAATTTTTCTTCAACCCCCTAACCCCCAGCTACCCCTACCTTTTCTTTCAAATGGAAACATAAGGCTTGAGGGGGCTCGTTGAAAAGCTTATAGGAAACCGAATCCAGCCATACCAAATAAACAAGTTTTATTTTTNTAAAGCATATAAATGATCTTAATCTGTACCTTCATATCTGTATATTAAAAATGTCCAATGCCCAAAAAAACAGTATGACTTGAGAATATTAATCACTTATACCCATAATATCATAAAACACTACAGTTTTTCAGTGTGAAATCACATTAGCAATATTAATATAACTACAATGATTTATTATTTTTTCGGTTGTCATGGAGAAAAATGACATATAGTAGGTACTTACGTATGTGCTAACATGAAAATCATTTAAGGTTCAAACCCAAACTTCGAGTAGTTCTTTGGACTGCAGATATCCGTTACAACTAACCTAGTTGATGGCATAAAAACTTATTGGATTTCTGTAATTTGTAATAAAAATTAAATATTTTATTAATTATTCTTTTATGCATATTATCTGTCGCATATTAATGCAGGCATTGATCAAATCAAGATTTAGAGCTAAACTCAACCATTTTCACAAGTACAAGTAGTTTTTGAGCCACGGCAAAAAAGGTACTTTGGGTAATGCAAATGCAAACGGCAAAAAATATCAAATAACATTTTTACCCCTTCGAATACAGTTATTGCAATATTAAACTATATTAGTGATAGTCTCAACAGATATAATAACATAGAAATTGATGATATTGGATCAATGGAAATAAAATACATGCCTCTAGACGTACTAAGATTAGTGCGATGCAAGGGGAACTCACGGTAAAAAAGACACTCCGATGGTGGGAGGCAAGGGGACCTTATGGTAAAAAAGCCACCCCAAAGAGGTGTTGGATCGATTTTGCAACCTCCACGTGGTACACCTTGAGTAATGCAAACGCAAACAACGAAAAATATCAAATAACATTTTTATCCCTTTGAATACAGAGTTATTGCTCTAAAGTCAACGTAACTCGAAAACTATGAACTTTAGGGTATTGTGCCAATGGAGCCTTTTGATCGACATGTTAAGAGCTATAACATATAAAAATTTCAGCCAATTTAACTGAAACCACTTTTACATAAGAAAAGTGCGGGGTCCTTTATTTTTAATATATTTTTTATAACAAAAAGGTTATATGTACATTACTATTTCTTTAAAGATATATTTCATAGTCATAATATTCTTACTTTACGAATTAGTATGGCCTAGCCAGAAAATGTAGATGCAACTAAGGACATAGTTAATAAGTAACGCATTTTTAGAAATGAAATAAAAAAAAATGTTTCCGGAAATGTTACCTGGTGGACATATTTTCGAACATGTCGAAAGTAACGTGACCATTAGAATTAGATTTTTTTCTGTTTGTTGGTAGGTATATAAACAAACCATAAAGAATTATTTTTCTGTAGTGTTTTTAGAACTCTAGATAAAATGAGAGGTCTTCTGTTTACATTCGCTTTATTAGTGTTTGCAGTAGTTATGGTGAGAATGTCGAATTTTAAATCTACTAATTTTTTAACATAAAAAATAATTATTCTTAGGTATTACTCATAAATAATAATNAAAAAATCAAAATCAGTTAACGTGTTTCGGCGTTTTAAAAAAAATTAACTAATTCAAAAGATATGACTTTTATTCCGTACTTCTGGCCATCCCTGTATACGGTGTGAGAGCCAAATTTTACAGTGCTTCATACGACGAGCCGGCACTGATACTTGATTATTAAATAAATACGTGTTATAAAAAAACGTTGCTCCTACTTTTATTACGTGTTTAGATGAAGGTCGGTTGAAAAATCCGCAATAAAAAAAGTTTTAATTAAGTATTTAATACCACTTAATTGCCGAATACTCTTCACTTGACTGGAATGACTCTTCCTCTGCTAAAAAAAAATTGTTTTTAATATCAGTATTTCGTCAAATTGCTGGAGTTACCAGACCATGACACTTGTCAGTTGTCAGCTCTATCACTTCCTATTTTGACGCCTAAAATTGATTTAATTGTTACGTAATAAGCATAATCCATACGGAAATGCACTTGATAATTTTTCGTTTCCTAATTTCCTAAAATAGCACTAGTTAATATAAATACTTACATGTGAAAATGCATTTTTCAAATCCATATAATTTTAATGCGCGATATGAGGGTGTCAATATTTTTGTGCAGTTTTACAATCATGATAGTAAGTACACACCTTTTTTTTACTCGGGAATTAAAAATGTTGTTTTAATCCTTAAATTCGGGAAAAAAATACTACTTTCAACCACTCTGTTAAAGACAAAGTAATATTTAGCAAGCAAGGCAAAAGTTGTGGACTTAAAAAAACACCTTTTATAAAAGAATAAAGACATTTTTATCGCATTTGGTACACAACTTCTTACTACATTTTTCTTTTTGTAAACTATAATGTTTAAATAACTTCTTTTTTTAGTGCCTGGTCCTTGGGATTCCCCAGATGGGCGGGCAAGGCTGGAATCAGAGGGAAAGACGTACCCAGATGAGCAATGGGCTGGGCCTGAATCTGGGTTTGGGCTTGGGGAGAAGTTCTTCAGATTCTGAGATGGTAAGGGAAGGAGGTATGAACGGCAATTCGGCTTCTTCTTATAGCACCACAGGATTTAGTAAAAGACGCTACGTCGTTGGCTGTAATGGACGTAGGGGACCACCAGGACCGCCAGGACCACCACCACAAACTACAACCACAACTGCGGGTAATACTGTAGAAATAAAAAAAATATATCTTCGTATAAAGCATTTGGAACGAAATTGGCACATTTATAAAAATTGTACAGATTCTGAAAAATCTTTTGGTGAAATTATTATCCTGTGTAGTGTATTCTATTATGTTTAATTTTGCATATATGTATATTTTTTGTTTGTTTCAGCTACAACTACTACAACCGCTTCTTCATAATGGCAATACCTAAAACGGAAATAACATGGCCTTTCTAAAATTCTGAATAAAATTTTGTTTAATTAAATAAATCATTCTGTATCCTTATACTTGTTATTTATATATAGACCAAGCAAATTAAATTTTTACTCGAAAAAAGTCCTATCCGCTAGATTATTGTAAAATTGTCTAAAGGAACATAATACAAGACATCTCTCGTCTCGTGAGTCAAAAACTTTTATTAGCTAACTTTTCTATTTAAACAAATAAGTGAGGAAAACAGTTTTTTCACTTTGCAGGGAAAACCATCAATTTTAGCGAAAAGCTTTTCTTTAAA